AAAAAATATAACTTTGCCCACTCACAAAAACTAAATCATACCGAACATATTATATAAAACTAAACCAAACAGAACCTTTTAAATATTCAAAAAAAGGATTTTTAACCACTGGAAGAAGATAAAACTATCATCTGAATGTTTCTTCTTTTGTAGGTAGATACCTACCGGTAATACAATTGATTAGTCTCTAACTGTAGTCTTTGCGAACAAATTTGTTGCATTAGTTGCAAAAACTAGTAGTTTTATGGGTTTCACATACATGGCAGGAACCAACTCTCTTCTTGTTGTCTCTAACTAGTACCTTTACCTCTGGAGCATATTTAGTGAGGAAAACTTGGAAATCTCTGGGAAGACTTTGTAGTTGGTCTTTCAATCATTACTACAGATTTTATTTGTATTGTATTTGACTAAGAGTTGCCACTGCGGCCCCGAGGGCCTATTGTGCCTCAGTTTCTACAAGCTCTTTATAAAAAGAGCGTTAAAGTTCACTCTCCAGACCCAGCCTTTTGACATAGGCCGTTATGTCCGAGGCTGATATTTCTCCTAGGTCTGATAGGTCTAGCATGGGTTTGCCAAACATCTCAAACCTGGTCCTGCCCCCAGCGGGCCAGGTACACATAACTTGTTTCGTCATCCTCCATACAGAGTCGGCATTCGGCATCTTCCACCAGTCCCATCCTCTGTAGGTGTGATCTCAGCCGGCATCGGCAGTGGCCCGTGTACACTGCAGTGAATGTACACGCTCCATTCCTACCAGCCTTTAGGAGTTATTCTGTTCTATGTTTGGATGGCCCTGCTACGATTTTCTTGGCAAGTTCCATTCCGGGACTGTCGTTCCAGTCCCGGAACGTCGCATCTCTAACCCATTCGCAGAGCCTGTCTCTTGCGAGATTTTTTGGAACGCTAGGGCGCGGTCTCTTCAGTTATAAATAAATAACTTTTATCTAACAAATAACCATCTAAAGATAAACAATCTAGAGCCTGATATCTATAGGATATAACATTTGGGTATTTTCATACAAAATAATCCAATAGATAACAATTTGGAGGACGGCCGCCTACGGACCGGTAGACACTCCGTAGAGAAAGTGTTGCCAATATAAGATATACCTGAAATTGAGATGGTTATATATGAAAAGTCGATACAACAGACAGAGACAAAAACTCGGAATTTCAAATCGTTAGATTAAAAAGTGAGGTTATTGTTCAGTTGTCAAAAGATTGTCAAAATGAAAATAAAAACAATAAAATTCAACTAAAATATATTTTGTGTTCAACTCCAACTAGTCCTATTATGGTATAGGCTATTTAAATTTACCTTTATGGAAAAAGGGAAAGATAATTCAATTTCAGCAGTGGTGGTGGTGCAATAGATCTATTGATGGAATGCGATTTATAAGAAATTAAAACAAGAAAAAATAATCTGTAAGTAATTTATAGTTTAATTACATGACATTACTGTTATATTTATTATATTAACATTTTAGTACAATTGATAATGGAAGAAGCTGGTGAAGTGCAAGCAGAGATTTATAAACCAATTCTAAAACCACCATCTGGTAAGTTATTAATATTGAAAATTAAAAATAGCATAAGACTGTTAGTAATAACAAATATGTTGTTCCAGGGCTTTTCATAGAAATAGGTAGGATAGCATCAATGATAGTAATTAAGGTGACTTTTTATTTTATAAAATAGATAAATGCACTTATACTTTTGTCTTAATAATAATAAATGAATAGTACCTATAATAATTGTTACATTTACACATTATATGTACAAATTATTTAATAAAAAAAATTAAATAAAAACAATTTTGTCATATTACTTTTATTTTTCTCTCAAACTCAAAGTAATGGCACTTCAAAAAAAAAAGAAAAAATAAAGGAAAAATCTTATCTAAACAAAGTTGAACTAACTGGAATTCAAAGGACCACAATACAGATGTTTTAGCAAGGTTTAGCTAGAGAGTTACTTAAAAAACAGCATGGAGAAGAGATGTACCGTATGATCGAAAAAAACGGCGTCAGCAATGGCTATGAAATAAATATTGCTGTCATTTCATATGTAAATTTATATGGGAAATATCATCGATCATCATTGCCCAGCCAACTGGACGCCGTTTTTTTTTCTTGATCATACCGTATAAGGTACATAGTGCAAGAAATTAAACTAAAATTGTAACACAAAAGAAATAAAAGCAAATGTGAGTTGAATAACAGGTTTTATAAGGTTCCTCTTATAATATTAATGAATTAAGATATGCGAATTAAAAATGAAATAAATAGTTTGATTTAAAAAGTTTTATTTATTTTTTACCTACTTTAGAGCTTTATTAAAAACTAGTTGAAGCCTGGCGTATCCGCCACGAGATCAGGAAAAAATACTTTTTATTTTTTTTAATTAAATGAAAAACAAAAAATCCGGCGACGACAGTTTTAAGAAGAGCCATTTAGCTATCTTTTAGTAAAAAAAGCAACTTTCTAGAGCAAGTCGTTACTTCAGTAGAGACGACGCAGATAAACATTAGCATTTTATATAATATATAGTAATGGTTTATAATTGAAAGGATTTAAATAAAATAATTTATAAATTACTGTTTGATCACTATTATCCTAACTTAATGCATTCTCTTCGTTCTGATGCTCTAACAGAACAGAGACTCTCTTTATTTTGTAACAGTCCTTATAAAGTCCGGCACTAGCAACAATAGTTTTTTGCGCCATTTCAATGTGTTTATTGGTGTTTATACCCCCTAAAATGATTATAGCCTACATACTCAGAATAGGTAAGTCTTTTCCAAATAATCTAAAATCGAATTTATTGGAATAAACGAAATCTTCAATAATAACACTGTCTTGGTTATGTTAAGCAATTTTGTCAAATATCAAATAAAATCAATCTCCTCATGCCTTTGCTCATGCGTCAAATTTTTATCCGACAAATAAAGCACTATTTGGCAGTTGGGGCGCCAGATAGGATATCTGGGAGATAAGTTTAATTTATCTAATAGATACTGTTATCTATAGGTGAAGATACGCGTTTTTCTGCTATCCGTCAAATAAAATATATCTGGCAGATTATAACACGCTATCCGTACCTGAAAACACCGGGGGTAAGTGTCGTTTCTTAAACTACAGGTTATATAATATATATTTAACAGATTATTATAACGGCAATCGAAAAAATTAATTAATAATTTAAAATAACCCCGAATAAAGCAAAATAATTAAATAATATAATCTTATCTATCTTACTTACATAACCGGGCGCGGAGTACCGCAACTTCTGTAGTTGCCAGGTTTACGAAAAAATTGCTGCTGAACCAAAATCGCTGGATACGCAATTACTACGACCCAGGCTGTCAAATATCTTTAAGTAAGAATATTTAATGGCACCACCGACCTACGACCAATGGATATTTTGCTATAACAAAATTAGTAAAATGGCTGTACAAAATTCCGGACGCGCCCGCTCAAGGGTTAAGGAAGTGTTTGAAGTACTACCTGGGGGCATGGCAGTGCCCCCGCCAAGTCGAGCACTACCTTGTAGTCGTCTGGTATCTAGTCGCCTAGTGTCTAGTCGCCTGTCTAGTGTACCTAGCAGACCTTGTAGTCGAACATTATTCTTTTTAGAACTTCTTTTAGTGCGCAGTGGTACAAAATAGCTTGATAGTCGTAAAAAAAATATCGCAACTTTAATAGAATATTTTAAACGAGAAAGCAGTAGTAATGGTCCTTTATGTCCCTTAAGTGCTGTTAAGAAGGTGAGTTTTGTTGACAGGGGCGTAGATAGGTGTATGCTATGGGGGTGGTACTATGATTAAGTCGCAAAAAAAATCGCCGTCGGAATTTTTTTGTCGAATTAAAACGACGGCGATTTTTTTGTCTTCAAAAAGATATAAAAACATAACACAAAAATTAAAATATAGATTTGTAAATAACATAAACAAAAATAAAACAACGACGTTTATTAGTTAATTTTCTATGAAATATAAAAAAAAACTCTAAACTATCAAAAAAAACTATAAACTATAAATAAAACTACAAAACAAAATCAAGTTTTCTAGTACGCTGTTTGAAAAACCTATCAATAACAGCATCAACATTTATTTCAATATCTTTATGGATATTGATTAGAGTTAACCCCACTAATCTGTCCTGGCCAATAAGAACACTTTGTGTGCTTTTAATTAAGTCGAACATTATTATAAACGATAAATCAACATAATTAAAGGCATACAAAGTGTTCTTATATGTCGGATTTTAATTAAAAAAAATCCTTTCATAGTCAATGACTATTTCAATTCTCGTATCTCGTCAAGCGTCAGGGGGGGGTACTGTCCCCCAGTACCCCCCCCCCTTATCTACGCCCTTGTTTGTTGATGTAAATAATGACTGTTTATCTATTTATAATTAATTTATTTTTATTCCCTAAAATATACAGATTAAAAGAAAATATATAAAAGTGGACAATGCTGTGCCAGTCAATCACGTGACTAAAACTTAATTTGGCATGAACTGTATAAAAATGATCAGAAAGTAACCCAGATAGCACATTTACGTTCTTTTCATATGCGAAGCAAGTGACTTTGGAGAACAACAATGTTCTATTCACATTCCTTTTTTTCATTGGGAACATATATGGCACATGAATAGCAGAGATTACGTTCCACCCTATTCAAGTGATATAGAAGTGCGTTTCACATTCCAAGATATATTCTATGAACGTGAATTATATGTTCGTAAAAGAATGTATTTAAAAATAATATTCCAATTATATGATATTCATGTTTTTAATATTCTATATTTATGCTTTTCATATGTTTTTCATATTTTTTTATTATCTACAGAGGCAAAATAAAACACTAATTTACCACAATACACCAAAACACTTTACTTTTGCACAGGACGCGCGTTTCGCTAACCATGTTAGCATCATCAGCAGATGGTCAAAATTTAAGTTTTAATCATCTGCTGATGACGCTAAGATGATTAACCAAACAAGCGTCCAGTTCAAAAGTAAAGTGTTTTGGTATATTGTGGTGAATTAGTGTTTTAATTTGCTGTTGTAACACCAAAGATTCCAACCCTCAACTCTGTATCTACTGGGTGTCCTGTATAAGGATGCCCTGTATCAATATCCTATAAACTATAGATATAGATACAATTTTTTTCATATTTAGCAATTTTTTTATCTCTTAAAATCTATAGGATACCTATACAGTACATTCATATCTGGAACACACTACAAACAATTTGCTGAAATTAAATAATTTGGTGTGTAATAATCAAAAATTAACTAATAAATAGAACGGTTAAAAATAATAGGTAAGGATAAAGACGAACTTGAGTAATATATGTTTATTAATTAAAAATATTTTAATATAACGATATACATTGATATTATCTTCTATGTCTATGTTTCTATATTCTCTTGTCTACCCTTCTGAAATAATATCAGCAGAATTATACTGTTCAAATAATTTGCACAACTTACCTTGGTATTTTTTAATCTTTCTTTTGTTTTTACAAGCCATATTTTAATTATATTGATAATTTCGGTTTCTTTTGACTCTTGAAATTGACCTTTCATGGAGTCTAAAATATATGTTATTACAGTCTTTGCAACACCAAATATCTTTAAGTTCAAATACCTAAAATTGCTTTTGGCCACTAACAATGATTTTAAACTTCTCTTCTGTTTGGCCCCATCCCAAGAATATTTTTGTGCAATTTCATTGCCCAGAACCTTATAAAGCATTTTCCTTGTACTTTGTGCTACTCCTGAACCACCAAGTCTAGATAATTCTCGAACCTAATAATTCTAAAAATACCTTTCTCTTAAAAAATACACAATAAATGATTATAGAAGAGCCTACATAAATACCTATATAAATACTATATTGTAAGAAATTTCAGCACTGGAACTACACTTATCAGAACAGAAATCTTTAATGATACTACCAGAGATACTACTACTTTGATGATGTACAGAGGATAATAAAAAATCACTTTGGTCTGAATCCAGTTTAATGTACAATATTGAAGTCATATTTGCGTAACATTGACTTAATAAGATTTTGGCTCCTTTTTTTCTGGTTGAATTTTAAAATATTTTTTAGTATAACCTATTTTTTCTCGAGGTCTCATGGTTTTAAATTCACTCACCTTAAAATAGATACTGAAAACACAAACATAACAAGAACTATTTTACCGATTCTATCCTTAAAATAATTATTTGCATCACTTATCTTTACGTTATCTCAGTGTTTTAATTATTAAAATAGTTTGGATGAAGCACGTTTACGTTTATAGTTCACTTGTTTTTTTATTAGGTTATGTTATGGATGTACGATTCGAATCGATTTCAGTCGAAGATCGATCTTTTTACCCAAAAAATCGATTAAAATCTATCGAGTTTTATCAAACTATCTTTTGGTATAATCGATCTTTTTATTTCATAATGGAAGATCGTTTTTATTTATGCAGTTTTACAGGTTTATTTATTTGTTAGAATAAGAAACACTGTATTTTTGCTTGAATATTTGTTTACAGGGCATCTATATACACTAATATATAAAATCCCTAATTATTTAATACACAAAAATTTAATAGTAACTGATAGTAAGAAAATATACAAATATAATGTATTGTATTCATTTTTTCATTTCGAAATCATTTTTATTCTCCTGTATTTTTATTCAGATATTGATATGTTTAGAACGTGAATAGCAGATACTTAAAATTTATTGTAAACCATAATTTAAGAAGACATTCTAAGGTCATGCTGATAACATACCTTTAAATCACATTCGTAGTAGAATGTACTATTCATATGCCATACTTATTAAAAAAAGAATATACTTATAAGAACTTAGGAGGAATATTCTTAGAATGTAAATGTTCCTTTTGTGCTATCTGGGTAATAATTGCTAATTCTCAAATGCCATCATTTTTACGTCAAATCGCCAGCATTTAACGTTTGACATTCTCACACTAGAAATCTAGGTGACAAGACATAAAAATTCCCATTCGAATGAACATCCCCCCTTCACCGTAACCTCCCCCTCCTCACCTCACCTCACTGTCGTCCGCCGATCGACGTAGTAGAGAATTATTTTCATCATAATGGTGTAAACGCAATCTAAATGCAAATCGTCTTATGTTAATTCGGTTTCGTGCCCATTAATTTTAAGTAGCCTATAATTAAATTTTATATTATTTTTTCGGGGCGAGAGCGGCCAGCGCTGGGGAGGGGGGAGGGATATGGGGGGACAGTGATGGATGGCGCTCCTCTGTCCTCTTCGCTCTCTCTGTCTCTCGCTCGCGCTACACACGGCAAAAACGGCTTATTACGGGTTTGTAACCCTTTTAATTAAAAATCGCGAGGCGAGGAGGTACCGATGATAATCGAGTTTTGGGGGGATGGAAGACAAGGGGGGAGGGGGGAGTATGAGAGACGATAACGGTCTGACATATTGGACTAATTTCCGAAAGAATATATTTATAATTTTCGAGAATTTTTTGACATCGCAATATTAATATTTAAGCCAATAAGGCATGTTTAAGACATCCAGACCATAGAGAAAGTTAATAGTTTAGAGAGTGGCAAATCGCGTGGTAAAATGTTGGGAGATTCCGCTTTTGGCGCCCTCTACTTGGCTACAGGTACGAACTATGAAAGAGCGGGAGATTTAAATTATTATTATAGTTATTCTTATTTTTCAGGCAATTAAAACTAAAAGTGCCCTTAACCAAAAATAGTGAAATAAATGGAGGTAGTTAAATTTAATATTATCATGATATTAAAGGATATAAATACAGCATTTATAATCCTTTTACACCTTTTTATTCAAAGTCTTTACACGCTAATATAAAATTTGACTATCTCCATTTATTTCACTATTTTTGGTTAAGGGCACTTTTTAATTTTAATTTTCCTTTTTTTATGGGAAACAATTAAATGGGAAGAATTGAATGGGAATGGAAAGAATGACCAATTATTGTATTTTGTATTAATTTATAATACCCCTATTCTACTAAATATCTAGCTACATTGTACTTACAGTTAAATAGCTACATTGTACTAGTTATATACATATTTACAGTTTTATGATGGCTATTATTTCTTTTCGTCGTGCTATCAATTGATTCGCTCCGACTTGAGTACTATACCTCGAGATGGCTCCAGAAATTATTTATCTTTACAGGCCTAGAATATGAAGATTCACAGTAGAATTTTTGGTTTTACTGCCTATTAGAAACAAACCTACCCCCCTACATCAAGGGACATAAAATTATGCCTTGTTCTCGGCCATGATATTCCTTCCATTCTATATCCAACATCCAACTTAGCAGACCTTCTGGTTCACAACAGCGCCTAGACTGGTCGGATGATATTTTAACAGAATAGCCCTTGATATCTCTTTCACACTTTCATTTAATAATTAAATAGGAGGGCTGGATGGTATAATTTCTAGAAAGAATAGCCAGTGAAATAAAAACTTAGGCATGGACATTACCTTTCTTACCTTTGTCTGCTATTTTTTAATAAAAAACAACTGTTTAGTTTGCAGAAAAATAGAATTAACAATCAAAAATTTCTTAAAAATGATCAAGCCTTGTACTACGCCGCGTGCCGCTTTTGAACAAACATCAAACAAAAGAATGAGGTTAGCGGCGTTGCCAATGTCAATTTTCTAAACTACCCAAAATCTAAATTAAATTCGCCAATTTGGGGAGAAAAATGTCCCGATTCACCAAAATTCCCCATATGATTATTTTAACAAAAAAAATAATTTTAATAAAAATACAATATTTATTATATATGTTAGAGAGATTAAACTGTAAATTACCTCCTTGTTTTTTAATCCCTTCCCTAGTAGTCATTAAATCATTTGAGGTCACTAAATTTTCTTTCAACTGAAGCATTTGCAAAGGGAAGCACAAGTAAAAAGCAGATTATAATTTTTAAGTTGGGAAAGATATATCGTCCCGCTCCGTTTTTACAGCTAAAAATTTTACGCCATTTTCAATCAGCAATAAAATGTTGAAACTCCCCTTATTCTCGCCCCCTATTGCTAAAATCCCCACAAAACTCCCAATCGGCTCCGGATTCCCCAAAATTTGGGGAATTCCCCACAAATTGGCAACGCTGGAGGTTAGCGTGTTCTTTCTGAATATGCTAAGACTAACGGACTAGTGTCGAAACACAGATAGCTAGATGGACGTATTTCGGCACTTGCGTCGATGCGCTACAGGTACATTTGCCTGCGCGTCGTATGTCTTCTGGCAGTCTTTTAATTTTTCTGTTTGTCTATGATCCAGACCATAGATAAAGGAAATAAATTTAGATTGGAATGCCCGTCAAAATATATAATTGTTTCGGGTCGCGACCGTTGTACGCGATCTGGCGCTGCTATAGCGGTTGCCAAGAATAACATGAACAACCGCCAAACAATAACAGAAATAATTTTCTCTTGCTAAAGTCAGAATCTTCAAAAATGATAAAATTTTTCAAAATTTAATCCGCTTTCATTGAAAAAATACGGAAAAGTGTTTAAAGCGTGAGTTTAATTTAAATTTTATTTACTCAAACCCGTGATAATTGTGAAAAAGTGGCATTAAACACTTAAAAAGCTATGCTGTGAACTGTGAACTGCAAAAACCATCCTGGCATATAACGTCGGTTTCCAATGTTTCATATGTATTTCATACATGTCCTTATATAAAATATAAGAATATAATAAAAGAAAATATAATAAAAAAATTAAATAAAGAATATTTGGCGACATAATTCCGGAAAAATCCGAACCGCTCCGAAATTATCAAAAGCTTTGGGTCGCGACCGTTGCAAGAATAGCTCCAAATAGTACCGTACGATAGAATAAAAACGGCGTCAGCGATGGCCACGAAATGACGATCGATGACATATATATAATTCCCATATAATTTTACATATAAAATGACAGCGATCATTTCATAGCAATCGCTGACGCCGTTTTTATTCGATCATACGGTATTTACATTGTCCTTATGCGCACTTTCCAATCTAAACTTGTTTCATTTATCACATCATCCATCTATGGTTATCAAGATGACTAAAGCTGACATTTTAGACGGCAACTGTCAATATAATATGTCATAATATTTTAATTCTAAGTATGTATGTAATATAATTTAAATTAATATAATCCAACTTTATACGAAGACAACATTCTATACATTCACAAAATCCAACAAAATCTAATAATACCTATAGTTTGAAAACAATGAAAATTGAATTAAAATTAAAACAAGTTAGGCGCGACCCCTTCTGTCAAAATTGTTTGTTTAGTTAGGTTTTACTCTCGTTTATGGCCAAATACATCATGGCCATAATGCATTTTTTCTCAAAATGTCAATAATAAAGAAGTTTTTTCTCTTGTAAAGACAACCCGGGGACCATACTGTAGAATAAAGATTCAACGCAATATGGTGGGAAAAAAAGATTATTCAAATTTAGAAGGGTATTGAAAAAATAGGAAATACTTGAAAAGATCGAAATAGAGAACAAAATGACAACAACTGTCAAATTGATTGGTCTCGATTAAAGGTCTCAATCATTTTAAATCATACCGCCTATCAGTCATCTGTACTACAATCAATAACAGAAAATTCGCTCGAGAACTCGACTATTGAAATAACCGAAATCGCTCGATTATGAACGAGCAATACAAGTGACGAGTACCAAGCGACAAACGCAAGCGATCCTAGAATGAAATAAATTGAAATCCGATGTGACATACTCGATAAAAAGCCGAGCGAATTTTCTACATACATTGCAGGTAGCAAATTTATACGACGCCGTATATATATTTATCCGTTCCTACATCACGACCTACATCGACAATGCTTTGAAATAAACTAAATCAAGCGATCAAGCGAATCGCTTGCCGCTTGCTACTTACCATTCATCACTGCGCACGCAACTTACTGTTTGGCGCTTGGCGTTAACGAGTACTTACAACAAGCGACGGGTGAAAAACCGTATTTTTAAATACGAGTGATATTTCGCTCGAGCGGTTATTGCATTCGGTTATTACAATCGCTTGAAGCTCGAGTACTCGATTATTGAAATTAATCGGTTTTTCCAATCACTAGTTAGGTGGTACGGTTAGCCGGGTCAGCTAGTTACTTAATAATTATATATTTTTTATCTAACCAGTCATCAGAATACTATGAAAATTGCGTCTAACGAATTTAGTCCCAAATTGCTTTTTCGAATAGTTATTCCCAATCCGAAAAAAAACGGTCCCATAAAAAACGAAATAACGGAAAAGCAACAAGACCGAAGGAAAAACCTCAAAAAAAAATTGGGGAAAAACCATCGGCCGGCTGGACATTGTGTTTGACGATTTGACTTGACCATTCGTTTCTGCGGTTGAATTTTCATTTACATTTTGTCCGATTTTAATGCGTTTTTGCGGCTGAAAGGTACGGCCGATGTG